GGGCTTGCTGTGCCTGCCCTGCCCCCAGGGCACGCTGAGATGGCAATTGAGACTGGGCGTGGTGGTGCTCACCTGTAATCCCAGCTCTTGAGAGGCTATAAACTGGCAGATCCCTGAGTCCGATCTAGGAGTAAGACCCTGAGCATCCTGTAGACCCTTCCCTAAAATGCAAAAAATAAATATATCCCATCTTGTCATCACTCCAGAAAGTCCCTCATGCCTCTTGTTGTTATGACATTGTGATTTATTGGATTTTTATCTCTTTATAGCCATAAGTTGGAAGAAGAATTTGAGTGGCTAAAGAAATCTGAAATCTTATACTACAGTGTAGAAAAAAAGGGAAATGTAAGTTCCCAGCTTAAACACTATAACCCTTGGAGCATGAAATGTCACCAGCAGCAGTTGCAGAGAATGAAGGACAATGCCAAGCATCGGAACCAGTACAGTATCCTTTCTCCATGGCCGTCTGCTCTGGGGAGGGTGAGGCAGGGAGCAGACTCTGAGTCAAAGGTTGGCTTAAGCCATGGTTGGGTTAATCCTAGGGCTGTGCAGAATATGCTGTATGATAACTGGGAAAAGATATAAGCATCCCTTATATCTAGGGGCTGGTTTAGGTGTGCAGGTGTGGGGATAGGGTTAAAGGGTCTTTGGGAGTAAATGGGTACCCCTGAAGGGCCCAGCTTATGTGAGGTGGCATTTCACACTTGCTCATCTGAAAGGTGGGGAGAGCAGACTCATGCTTGCTTGTGTACAAGAGAAGCATCAGGTTCTTTTCATTTGTTTCCCCTTACCTATTAAACTCTTACTTTTGTCACCTCAGGTTTTTTTCTGTTTTTTTTTTTTTTTCCAAATCTTACAGATTGAATCCTCAGCATGTAGCTTTTATTGGGGAAAACGTTAAAATTTGAGTAATACACTGATTACTGAAGTGCTTATCACCCAGATTTCACAGTTGGCCCCATATTAGTCTTGTCTTGTGACTACATCAAGTGCAGCACAGCTACAGTGCTGGGTTCAAACCCAGGGAGGCCTCACGAATGCTAAGCAAGCACTTTACCTCTGGGTTTGTACCCTAGCACTTTAAAAAAAAAAAAAAAAAAAAAAAAACCAAACCAGCTTTTTTTACATATTTTTTTCCAACTAGACCTTTTTTTTTTTTTTTTTTAATATATTTGGTACAGGGCTTCACTGCGCAGCTCAGATTCATAGTGATCCTCCTGTTTTCAGCCTTCCCAGCACTGGGATTACTGGATGTGGTCACCAGCTCAGCACACCCCAGGGGCGGAGCCAGCATGTCCTACAAGACTAGGGATTGAGCCGTTGGTGCTGGGTGGCAGGGACACACTGGAAGGGTTTTTTTTTTTTTTTTTTTTTTTTTTTTTTTTTTGTGATACTAGGTATTGAACTCAGGACCTTGTGCATGCCAGGTAGGTGCTTAGGCCACTGAGCTATCTCCCCAGCCCCCCAACTGGACCCTTTTTTAAAGGAAACCTATAGTATTGCATCCATTTCCCTTTTTTTTTTTTTTTTTTTTTAATTTTTATTTATTTATTTATTTGTGTGTGTGTGTGTGTGTGTGTGTCCAGCTCAGCCCACCAGGGGGTGGGGCTGGCTGGCATGTGGTGCTGGGGGATTGAACCACGGTCCCTGTGTTTTGCTAAGCTTGTTCTAAGTAGGTGCTTTAGACCACTGAGCCATCTTACCAGCCCTATTTGTACCATTTTTACTTCTTAAATTGGACAAGTCAGTCATGATGGCATACCTGTGATCCCAGCACTTGGGAGGCTAAGGCATAAAGATCGCTGTAAGTTCAAGGCTAGTGTGAACTACATATTGAGACACTATCTTAGAAAAACAAAACAAAAAACAGGCATGGTAGTGCATGCCTGTAATCGTTGCACTTGGGAGGCTGAGGCAGGAGGATCCTTGAGAATTTGAGACCAGCTTGGGCTACAAAGCTAGCTCAAGGCCAGTCTGAACTGCATAGCAAGACCCTGTCTTAAAAAAAAAACCAAAAGAAAGACATGGAAAGAAGACAGAGTAATTTCTTACTATAATACAACATAATTTCCCATATATGGTGGCACATTTCTATAATCCCAGTACTCTGGGAGGCTTAAGCCAGAGGATTGCAAGTCTGAGCCTAACTTTGACAATTTTGTGACATAATGAGACCCTATCTCAAAAAACAAAATGGGCTGGGGATGTAGCTCAGTGCGAAGACTGGGTATCATCTCTGGTAAGGGAGTGGGGCAGGGGGTGGTGCAGTATGCATGACAACCACAGAATGAAAACCCTCCGCCTAATTCATATGTACATATTATCTATATCTTATTGGGCTCAGCTGATTTTCATTTTTGGTTTGAATCTGGATCCTTGTGAAGTTTACATGATGTGTCAGGCATGGTGGTGCACATCTATAATCCCAGCTCTGAGGAGGCTGAAGCAGGAGGATCACCATGAGTTTGAGACCATACTGAGCTGTGTAGTGAATTTAAGGCCACCCTGAATGCAACATAATTATCTTAACTACAAAAAGCAAAAAATAAACAAAATCTCCTCTTCTAGGACTTGTGTGGATCCTGTCTCTGCTGCTTTCTGGCACTTTCTTGGTGCTCCTGCCCTTGCTGTGGGGAAGGCAGATTGGCTGCAGGCCCTTTGAGAGGGAGGGGTGGGGTCAGGCTCCAGGATGTTCCTTCTGGAGTGACAGACAGAGCAGCTGGGTAGGGCAGGCTTCTGGGAAGGAGAGACAGGTGGGGTTTTCTAGCTGCTCAGCCACACTTGCCTCCTACATCACCGCCCTGGGTGACACCTTCTAAGATACAGGAGGGAAGCACTGGGTTTTGTTACACAGTAACACTGGACAGACAAAGCAGGGTGTGAGGGGAAACAAGGAAATTGAAAGGTTTATAAGTTGCATTGAATTCAAATGTTACAAACCTTTTAATACCATTTCCCATTTATTTCTTGAGAAAATTTTGGTTTGGTTTCGTTTTTTGAGACAGGGTCTCAGTATGCAATTTAGGTAGGTGCTTATGCCGCTGAGCTATCTCCCTGGCCTTCATTATGCAATTTAGGCTGGTGTTGAACTCACTGTGTAGCCCTGGCTGGCCTCAGATTCACAGTGATCCTCTTGCCTCAGCCTCTGGAGTACTGGGATTGCAGGCGTGCCAAACCACACCTAGCTGCTGCTTGAAAACTTATCAAAGGGGCTGGGGATGTAGCTCAGCTGCACAAATGCCTGCCTGGCAAGTGCAAGGTCCTGAGTTCCATTCCCAGTTCCCAAAAAATAAATTTACAAAAGAAACTGCTGGAATTACGTTTGACTTGAATTTTCCTTATTGTATCCTTGTGGTGTCTTTTATATGTTACTCTCTCTTCTTTGTTTTCAGTAAATTGATAATTGGACCTGAATGTTCCATCAGATTCAGGTTCTGTCCATGGGAGAATAGGAGCAAGAATCCTTGGGAGATGGTATTGTACATGTCCATTCACTGGGAAGCACAGTGTTGTTTGTTCTTGTAGATCATCATTACTCTGGATCTGTTTATTTTTTTATTATTTTTGGATCCATTTGTTATGGGGTAGGTATATGTGTGTTAGTTATTGGGACTTGAATTTAGGGGTCTTCACACATGCTGAGTCCTCAACTTTTTTTTTCTTTAATGTATTTTTTTATTTTGAGACAAGATCTCCAGTTCTCTAAGTTGCCCAGGCTTGGCTCATACTTGGCAGTACTCATGCCTCAGCTTCCCAGAGTGCTGGGACTACAGGTATATACCACCATGTCCAGCGGTGATTTTCATTTTTCCTGTTTTAAATGGTACTGGGGATTGAACCCACGGCCTCATAGATACTAGGTTAGCATTTTTACCATTGAACTACACCCCTTAGCCAGTCTTTTTAAGACAGGGTCTCTAGGTTGGCTGGGCTGGCCTCAAATGTGTAGTACTCCTGCCTCAGCCTCCCAGAGTGCTTGGACTACAGGCCTGTGCCACGCTATTCTAGTTTATTAGGCAGTTTTTAAATTTTGTCATTCATTGGAATCATTTATAAAGAGCAACTTTTTTTTTCTCTATACTTATCCTGTGGTACACTGCATATAGGACAGGCAGGTACATTAGTCACTTTCATTGCTGAGACAAAATACCGCACCGCTGCAGAGCAGGAGACCTTCATGGTAGCTGGCTCCGTGGCAGAAACAGCATGGTGGTAGGGCCTGACAAAGTACTTCTTGGCTGCAGGGAAGCAGAGTGAGGGAAGAGCCAAAGAAAGAGAAAGGGGCTGGGGACAGGACGTGCACTTAGAAGGTGTTCCCTTACTGACCTGCTTCCTGTACCTGGGCCCACCTCCCAACTGTGCCTTCAGATTCAGCCCTGATAAGGTTCGTGCCCCCATGGTCACTTTACCTTAGGCACTTTCTGGCTGCACTGGGGATGAAGCCTTTGATAAATGGGTCTTTGGTGGGTGCTTTACATTTAAACCATACCAGCAAGTTGAGTGCTTGTTTTTCCCTAGTAGGTATTTGGAGTAATAAGTGTCAGTGAGGTTTGCTGTTTTGTTTGCAGAACTGAGGAATGAACCTCAGTTTAGGCTATTCCTTCACAATGAGCTACATTCTCCTGCCCTTTTACTATCTTTTTTTTTTAATATTTATTTATTTATTTATTTATTTAGTGTGGCCAGCTCAGCCCACCAGGGGGCGGGCGGGCTGGCATGTGGTGCTGGGGGATTGAACTGCGATCCCTGTGCTTTGCTTGAGCTTAGCTTGTTCTAAGTAGGTGCTTTAGACCACTGAGCCATCTCACCAGCCCCTTTACTATCTTTTATTGGAGACAGGAGTTCACTAAATTGCCCAGGATTGCTGATCTCAAACTTTCTGCGACAGCCTCTCAAGAATGTAGGCATGTGGTACCATGCTGAGTTGACTAGTGAGTTTTTAACCATTATGAATATGTGAATTTGAATATTTTTGATGTTTGAGTCTATTATAGCTGTTACTGATGTTCACACAGTCTCCAACATTGACAGAATCATAAAAATCGTAGTAGTCCATGGTAGTTTGTCTTTTGGGATTTTTTTTTTGTTTGTTTGTTTTCTTTTGCATAAATAGTACATAATTTAGGTTTTTGTGAACTGTACATCTGGAACAACACTCCTGTTTTGTTATAGACAATAACATAAATGGACAAGTATGCTATTCTGATATTTTTTGGGGGGGTGGTGATATCAGGAATTGAACTCAGGACCTCAGATTTTCCAGGCAGGTGCTGTGCCACTGAGCTAAACCCCCAGTTTCTGATAAAATTTTATGGTCACTATAACCATTTTATTTTCATGGATCATGAAGTAATATATATATTTTTCTCAACAGACAGACCACTTCTAGCTTGTAGACTGTACAGGGAGGAGCAGTGGCTGAATTTCTCTCTATCCTCCAGGAAGTACAGGTTCCTGCTCATGGGAAGTGGTGGTTCTATTGCGCATAAGGGGCACTCTTGATGCTAGGTCCTGTGTCTTGGCCTTCTCAGTGCATACAGCTGAGAATTGGATTTTTTTTTAAGTGTTATTTTCATGAATTTGTATTCATTGAGAGTTTACATATAAGGCTGCAGGAGGTATTGAACCTAGTTGTTCTTTGTGTGACTAGGGACAGCATGCTCTGGGACTGTGACCCTCTAGCTAGGGCAATTCAGGAAATAGTGACCATGTCTTCCAAGCTGGGGATCTGCTTGGATGACGGGGGTATGCTGGCTGCCCTTTGACAGCACAGTGGAGTTCCCTGTGGGCTTAAGCTCGTCTGGGTCACTGTGTCTAGGCCTTGTGCTGCAGGAGTACCCAAGCCGCTTTTACACTAGCGCCTCTGAGGCTACTGGCCTTAACAACTCAGAATTCATCCTACTCGAGAACCTGACTTCCCGCTACGAAGTTCCCTGTGTCCTGGACCTCAAGATGGGGACGCGCCAGCATGGTGATGATGCTTCAGAAGAGAAGGCAGCCAACCAGATCCGAAAATGTCAGCAGAGCACATCTGCAGTCATTGGCGTGCGTGTGTGTGGCATGCAGGTGAGGACTGTGCTAGTGTATAAGGAGGGCTGGCAGGGGCATCCAGCAGCTGCCACTGGCCCACCATGCCATGGTTCTGTTTGCTTTAAAGATTGCACATGAATGAGTGGGTTTCTTTATGGTTGGGGGGGAAAAGCATTATGTGTAGTGAGCCCTTTGAGGCTGGCCTGGCAGGCTGAGTGTGGAGTCTGAACAAGAGCAGGGATGAAGGCAGGACAGTTAGGCTGTGTGCATGGATGCAGATGCAGAGTAGGGCACTGGGAATCCATGACAGATATCAGATACCTGTTCAGATTATCATGTCCAAAGCTAAAGGATTGGATCTGCGCTGCCACCATTCCCCAGGGTCCAGGCCTTGAAGTGGTCCAAACCCCTGAGCTGCTGGTCTCTCCCTCAGGTGTACCAGGCGGGCACTGGGCAGCTCATGTTCATGAACAAGTACCACGGACGGAAGCTGTCGGTGCAGGGCTTCAAGGAGGCGCTCTTCCAGTTCTTCCATAATGGGCGGTACCTGCGCCGGGAGCTGCTGAGTCCAGTGCTCAAGAAGCTAGCTGAGCTCAAGGCAGTGCTAGAGCGGCAGGAGTCCTATCGCTTCTACTCGAGCTCCCTGCTGGTGATCTATGATGGCAAAGAGTGGCCTGAGGTGGCTCTGGACTCAGATGCTGAGGACTTGGAGGACCTGTCAGAGGAGTCGGCCGATGAGTCTGCAGGTGCCTACGCCTACAAGCCTCTTGGCGCCAGCTCTGTTGATGTGCGCATGATCGACTTTGCTCATACCACCTGCAGGCTGTATGGAGAGGACAGTGTGGTGCATGAGGGCCAGGATGCTGGCTATATCTTTGGGCTCCAGAACCTGATAGACATTGTCACAGAGATCAGTGAGGAGAGTGGGGAGTGAGCTTGTTAGCTGCTCCAGGATGAGAGATACCGTGTCCCAGGCACAGCTGTGCTGCGTCTGGGAAGTTAGGATGGCCAGGTGGTGGCCCCTGCAGCCTGGAGCTGATGCGTAGTGGCCTCTGTGAGCCCCAGTCTGAGACAGCCCTATTCGTGCTCAGAATCTATTTATTTTAACTATTTCTTCAACATTCCAAATTTGATGATGCAGATACCTCTTTCTTCCCTGAGTGTAAATGTTCTAATACAGATTTTTGTTTATTGTATATGGTGCTGCTGTTATTCTTTCTGGGAGCATGTAGTCCTGAACATCAGAAGCCTTAACCACATGCTGCGTGTGACCTTTGCTACTGCCCCTATCCTATAGAGTCAAAAGTCACCTGTACTTCTTGGCTTGATACTTAGTGCCCCAATCTGGTAACTTGAGGTCACCCAAAAACCCCTTCACACATATCTTAGCCAGGTTCCCCTCATCTGCCAGCTGAGTCTCCCAGCACCTGTGCCATTGTTGGGCAGCAGGTAGTTCAGATCACAGGTCCAGCTTTTGATCCCTTCTGTACTGCTGTCAGCAGCTGATTGGCTGGACATTGTGATGTCAGAGATTATGGAGTCCTAGGCTCTGGTCCATGGATAGCCTCTGGTAAAGCACAGCCTAGTGAGAGGTGGTTCTGGGCAGGGTGGAACTTGGCCCCATCACCTTTCATTACTACCCAGCCTTAGATTTCACAGGATGAAAACCAGTCCTTCATACAGTCAAACCAGGGCAGCCCATGGCTGGGAGGATGCTTGGGAGGAGAGGCTAAGGGGGCTCTTGAATTTTAGAGCAGGGTCTGGGTGTTAGGTTCTAGCAGCTCTGTCCCTCATCTGAACTCTCACATTGCTTCCTCAGGCTCCTTGGGCCTACCCTACTATGTGTAAAATAGGGCACTGCTCCAAGTCTCAGGCTTCTGGTGGTCTGTGTGACCACCCCCTGCAGTCCCCATTTGTGAGGCCTTTTCCTTGGGCCACATAGGCACTGACACCAAAGGTTTCAAAGACCTGGAGTTCACTGGAAAGTTGGATGGGTCAAATATGCCTTTAAGGCCACATGGAGTCCTATTCCCCATCATGTGCCAGCCCTCCCAGTTTCTGCAAGTTTTGAGATTAAGAATCTGACTGGATGTGGTAGCACATGACTGTAAGCTATCCAGAGGGCCAAGGCAGGATGATGGCCAACCTGAACAATTGAGAAAGACTTTCAAAATACAAGTCCGTGATAGGGCACTTGTCTAGCATGGGTGAAGCCTGAGATTTGATCCCCAGTACTGCCAAGAAGAGGGGCACAGGATTTTAAATTGTACAAAGGTAGTGAAACAGTTGCTAGCAGTTGATAGGGCTGGGAGGCTGATTGTGCTGGAGGGGGCATTCAGGCAGAGGGAACAAGATATGCAGACACACGATAGAAAAATGAACGCCACAGGGCAGGGTGTGGGGGAAAAGACAGGATTAGACAAGAGGGAGCATCCCCTTAATAAGTTGTGCCTATGCCCACTTGCTCCATGCCTACCACTGGGTTGGCCCAGGAGAGACTTCTCCACCTGCAGAATTAACAAGGACAGCGCCCTTTCCAAGTCCTTACTGTAAGTTGTGACTCACCACCGCCGGCCACGGGTATCGTGGTGGCTGGGGTCGGGTTCAGGCCTAGAACGCAACGGTTAGGGCAGAAGGCAGAAGGCAGCGGTGTCTAGGTCCCTCCCTGCTGCTCCTTTTGAGGCCGCCAGGAGGCGCCGCTCTCCAGGTTCTGAGCTGACTCTCTCGAGGCGGGGCCACAGCGAGCGGAGACGCGCGCGCACGCGCAGTGTGTCCCACGGCGGGGCTGGGCGGGGCGGTGCGCTCTCCCGGCCTGGTAGCCTTCTCTGCAACCTGGCTACTTATCTAGTCCTTTGGAGTCCTGGCCAGGCCCCATGTACCGTGCGCTGTACGCCTTCCACTCGGCGGAGCCCAACGCGCTGGCGTTCGGCGCGGGCGAGACCTTCTTGGTACTGGAGCGCAGCAGTGCGCACTGGTGGCTGGCGGCGCGGGCACGCAGCGGCGAGACGGGCTACGTGCCACCTGCCTACCTACACCGTCTGCAGGTGAGTGCCCTGCCAAGACCGCCGCCCCGAGCACCGACCCAGGGTCGGTCCTTTGGGCCTGGAGGCTGACCCCCAGCACACAGGGACTTGGGAGCACCCCAAGGCCCAAGGCCTGTGGGCACTGAGACCACAGGGGCGAGAACCCCTACAAAAGATCAAGCCTTTGACATTAGAGCGACCAAGAACTTAGCTCTGGGACTGAGACTCCTTGGGACCTCAGACACCCTAGGATTGGAACCTGCGTCTGAATAGATTCTGGAGCTAGACCCAAAGGCTCGAGTTACCAAGTCCCTGATACCCCAATCCTTAATATCCTTGGATCACTAGTGTTCCACACTCTCCCCCACCCCCACCGTGGGGCTGTTGCCTTTACTGCTGAGACTCCCCACCACCACCACCACTGAGACTAGGACACTTAGACACTCCATTTCCCTAAACACCTCCAGGTTCTGAAACCCCTCCCCCACCCTTGGGCCCTGGGCACATGGACCTCCTCCTCACCGTGACCCCCCACCCTCTGAGCTCTGTGTCTTTGACTGTCCTGTATTCAGTTTCTTCCTAAGCTCTTAGCTTGAATGACTGAACCAAGGTTTCCAGCCCTTGCTGACCTTGCTGACACTGCCCCTTCTGCTCTGCCCATATATCAAGCCCTGACTTGCAGACTTCTCTGAAATTGAGGGGCTGCATCCTTCCTTGTCCCTAGCCTGGAGTGACTTCTGAGGATTCCCCTGGTCTGACAGTGGCCCCATTTCTTTCCAGTGGGGGTTGCAGTCCCAGTTCCGGTTTCCACAGGAACAGCCCTGTTGCTGGGGCTGGGATCACCATGTCTCAAATTGGTCTCTTTCTTCTGACCTTAGGGCTCAGAGGTGGCCTCTGCCAGGCATTCCTGCCCTGTCCTAGTCCCAAGCTTTTGGAAAACCAGTCCTAGACCAGTTCAGAATAGAAATAACAGATAATCTGGTCTTTACCAGAGGGTTTGGGCCCTCAGCCTGAGCCCATCCAAGACTGTTGGGGGTGAGGAGACCCCCAGGAAGTCCTGTCTTTTCTCCTACAGGGCCAGTGAGGCTGGGTGTTTGGGGATGGCAGAGAAGCTGCCATGTTTTCTGTCACTGTCCTGGCTTCTTACTGCGTACTCCTGTGTCTTGATTTCTCATTCTAACCTTCCACTTGTGTGTTTTCCTTTCTGACTCGCTGATGATATCTCTGGAACTGTCATCCTTTCTGTCTCCCTCTGCCTACCTCCATGTCCCTCTCTCTAGGTCTGTCTTACCTTTTTTTTTTTGCCCCCTTTTTATTTGTCTCCCTGCACCATGGCACACCCCATGCCACCTGCAGGGCTTTGCTGACTGTATCTATCTGTCTGACCCTACCAGGGTAACTTCTCAAACCACTCTGAAGTGAGTTCCCTCAGCTCTGAGGCTGTTTTTCTGGTTGGCCAGGAGTGGTGGGATTAAGGAAGGGCTGGGTGACTGGTCCCCTGGGTTGCTGAGAATGAGGACCTGAACCTGGAGCAGGTACTAAGCCTGTCTCTTTGTCCTTCCTTTGCAGCAGACATATAGCTGCTTCCCAGGGCAGCTCTAAGACAGCTTGGAAAGACAGCAGGGATAGGTGTGAGGATGCGGGGGGGCTCCTCTTGGTTCCTTCCTAGTTCCTGGAGCCTTTATGGGGCTCTGCAGGGCCAAGGCTGTCCTGGGGTGTGACCTTGATGTTGTAAAGGATCAGAAGGATCCAGAGTGACTGATTAAGAATTCCAGACACTGGAGGCTGCTTGCTTTCCCAGCCTGGGCTCTGAACCAAGCCAAGGAATGGAGTAGGTATGCAGTCCTGGCTCCAGGCTGCGGCTCGCTGGGATAAGGGTTTGTTCCAGATCTCAGGTCTTGAGAGCCATTTGGGCAAAGAACCTTTCCGGGGACCGGGGAGATGGCTCAGTGGAATAAGTGCTTCCCTGGCAAGTGCAAGGGCCTGAGTTTGATTCCCGGTTCTGCAAAAGAAAAAAAAAAAGAACCTTTCTGTGGGGTGAAGTCCTGATTGGACCCCTGTGTGAAATGGGATTCTGGGGCTGCTTTGTGCCCCTGCTCCCTGAGAGACACCATTTGAGACCCCATTCAGTGGACCTCCACTCAGCTTCCTCGTGGGCTGGGTCTGAGCTGAGCACTCCTTCCTGGGACCAGGTCTAACTGCTCACCCCCTGCAGGGCCTAGAGCAAGATGTCCTCCAGGCCATCGATCGGGCCATCGAGGCTGTGCACAACACAGCCATGCGTGATGGTGGCAAGTACAGCCTGGAGCAGCGAGGAGTCCTCCAGTGAGTACTGGGGAGGGGGGTGGCTTCTCCAGGGAACATTAGGAGTGAGGCTGGGTAGTGTGGCAACTACAGAGTGGTGGAGCATGGGGAGATAGAGTGTGAGGGCTGGGCCTGTGGGCTTGCAGCCTCCTTTAAGTACGTTGGTACTGTGGGTGTGTGCAGTGCTCTTTGCCATAGTCTCCCTATCCCCACCAGGAAGCTGATCCACCATCGGAAGGAGACCCTGTCTCGTAAAGGCCTCTCAACCTCTAGTGCTGCAGTAATGCCTGCATCCACCAGTGACCATCATTTGGATGCTGCTGCTGCTAGGCAGCCCAATGGGGTCTGTCGAACCGGGTTTGAACGGCAATACAGCTTGCCTAGTTCTGAACATCTTGGGGCAGATGGAGCCCTCTACCAGGTACATGGTGAGGGCATCCTGGAGAAGAGATGGGTGGGGCTTAAGACTTCATCCTGAGATGTATTTTATTTATTTATTTATTTATTTATTTATTTAGTAGAGTCTACAAGGTCTCACTCCATAAATAGGACTCAGTAATCCTCCTGTTTTCAGCCTCCCAGGGCTGGGATTGCAGCCATGTGCCACCATGCCCAGTCTCAATCACTGTCTCACTGCACCCCGGGGGCGAGGCCAGCATAGCTTGTGGTGCCAGGGATCGAACTGCCCTGTGCTCTGCCTAAGGAGGCACTTAAGTCCACTACCTGGCCAGCCTTTTAGATATAGCTTCATCCTGAGTCTCAAGGGTCCACTCAGATTAGTAGTGTAACCAGGGCCATATCCCTGCCTTCAGTCAGAGCTCAGGGTGCCATCCCATTTCTGTCCTTGCAGGTCCCACCTCAGCCTCGCCGTGCAGCACCCACTACACCACCCCCACCTGTGAAGCGCCGAGATCGTGAGGCCCTGATGGTCTCAGGGAATGGTGAGAGGCAGGCAGATGGGAGCTAGAGGCTTGGGAAAAGATAGGGCCCCTGTGTTGAGCAGTTGGGGCTCTGGGCTTGGTAGCAGAGAGGGCCTAGCAGAGGCATTGGGATCTATCTGGAGGGACAGGCCCCCAGGGGCCTGCCCTAGCACAGCATCTGTCCTCTGCTCACAGGTGGCCGCAACACCACGCCCTCTGGGTGTAGTTCGTTGTCCAGTGGCTCCTTGGTCAACAGCACTTCTCTGGATACGCTCTGTACTGGCTCCAGCCCCTCTGAGTTGGGCATTGGCTGCTCACCTACTCCCCCACCTGTGCCACGCAGAGGCGCCCACACGGTGTCCCAAGCCCTGCCCTCTCCGTCCAAAGCATCAGCTCCTGAGTCCCCTACAGAGGAGGTGGTGGTTTGCACGACTTCAGCCCCTGATGACTTGGAGTCCCTGGGCACTCTGAGTCTGGGGACCACAGAAGAGAAGGCAGCAGCTGAGACTACAGTGCCCAGGACCATTGGGGCAGAGCTGATGGAGCTTGTGCGGAGAAACACCGGCCTGAGTCATGAATTATGCCGCGTGGCCATTGGTGTCGTGGTGGGTCACATCCAGGCCTCTGTGCCAGCCAGCTCACCTGTCATGGAGCAGGTCCTCCTCTCACTGGTGGAGGGCAAGGTGAGGGGGCATCATGACCAGGAGCCTCCCCTGGCATTCCCTGCTAAACCCACCCATTCTTACACACACACACACACACACACACACACACACACACACACACACACACGTCCAGCCTGTATGTGACAGGTATTTCTCAGCTGGGGCCATGGGCTTTCATTAGGCTGGGCGCTGGGGATATTTGCAGTGACTCAGGAAGAAGAGAGGGAGGAAGAGCATCTGAGGCAGTAGCTAAGCCTGGCCTCAGGCCATGACGCAGGGCTGAGTGTGGCTCACCAGGAAAGGGGAAGAAAGTGGCATGGGTGGTACACAGGTGGATAGAACAGCTATGGGAGGAGCAGAGACCTGGAGTAGCTGGCAGTGAGCCCAGAGGTGGGTGGCTGCAGGGAACGAATGTATTTGGATGGGTGCAGGCAGTGTCTTGCTGGCCTCAGCAGTGGCAAGAATGTGTTTGGGGAGCTGTCACAGAGGCCCACCTGCCGCCCAGATGAGAGAGTATGAGGCGTGTGGGTGCTATGGGATTTGTGCAGGGCAGGAGCACATCAAAGGCAGTGAGCCCAGAGTGTGTAATGAGAGCTGGATGGGCCCAGGGTCCCTCTACAGGGCTCCTCCTGCAGTTCTGGCTTGGGTGGTGAGGCATAGCCAGGAGCATAGTGCTTGGTCAGCAGGTTTCAGGAGAATGTGCAGGGTGGGAGATGATGGGCCTGTTGCCGCGGGTGGTGGATGCGAGTGTGAGGTCTCAGTCATATTCAGGCAAGTGGTGGAGTCCATGCCCTTCTCATGGGGTGTTTATCTGGGTGTGCGGTGAGAGACAGGTTGTTGGGAAACATCCCACAGACTGCCTAATGCAGAATCCTGTCCCAGGGGATCATTAAGACCAGAAGCAAACCCCCGCCCAGCGTGGTCATGTAGGACTTGAGCTCCCAATGTAGGCCCCAGGCCTTGAGTGCTTCCTGGAGATGGGGTGCTGAGTGTGTCTTGCCCTCTCTCCCCAGGATATGAGTACAGCTCTGCCCTCTGGGCAGGTCTGCCATGACCAGCAGAGGCTGGAAGTGATCTTTGCGGACCTGGCTCGGAGGAAGGACGATGCCCAGCAGCGTAGCTGGGCCCTCTATGAGGACGAGGGCGTCATCCGATGCTATCTGGAAGAGCTGCTGCATATTCTGGTGCGGGGTGGGCGCCATGTGTGTCTCCAGCATGTGTGCAGCCCCCCTACCCCATCCCTCTTTCATGCTTAGGAGTCTGTCCTGCACACAAACGCTTCGCTTGTCTCCATGTGGCCACACAGCCAGGCGCACTGGGTGATGCACGCTTCCTCCTCCCTGCAGACTGATGCAGACCCTGAAGTTTGCAAAAAAATGTGCAAGAGGAATGAGTTCGAGTCTGTCCTGGCCTTGGTGGCCTATTACCAAATGGTGTGTGCCAGACAGAGGGGAAGGGTGCATGGAGGGATACGGGTAGGTGTGGGGGTTCCGGAAATTCACATGGGGTCCCCTACCAGGAACACCGAGCATCACTGCGCCTACTGCTCCTCAAGTGCTTTGGGGCCATGTGTGGCCTTGACGCAGCTGTCATCTCCACGCTTGTGTCGTCTGTGCTGCCTGTGGAGCTGGCACGGGACATGCAGACAGACACACAGGGTGAGGTGGGGCAGGAGTGTATCCTGCCACCAGCAGGGGTCCCCTCATCTGCTGGGGTTCCTGCCCTCTTCAGGGCTCTGACTGCCTGTCTCTCCACCGCAGACCATCAGAAGCTCTGTTACTCTGCGCTCATCCTGGCCATGGTCTTCTCCATGGGAGAGGCAGTGCCCTATGCACACTACGGTAAGAATGCAGATCACTGAGCTGCTGACTGCAGGCCACAGAGGTACAACCCATGGCCTGATGGTTGGCAGGGAGAGGTGCCCCCAAGGCTCACAGCAAGTCCGGGAATGTGAGTGGTATGGGGGTGGGACGAGACTGCAGACTGTGTGCACCCTCTTCCAGAGCACCTGGGCACACCCTTTGCTCAGTTCCTGCTGAGCATTGTCGAGGACGGGCTGCCCCTGGATACCATGGAGCAGCTGCCGGACCTCTGCATGAACCTGCTTTTGGCTCTCAACCTGCACCTGCCAGGTGAGAATGGGACCTGGCTGGGAGGGTCCAATCAGAGAGGCTTTGCAGGCTGTGTTTTTTCTTGTCTACACCCTGTCTTTCCTCAGTGCCTGACCAGAATGTCATCATGGCCGCCCTGAGCAAACACTCTAATGTCAAGATTTTCTCTGAAAAACTACTGCTTCTGCTCAACAGAGGAGGTGAGGGCCCCAGAATATGTTTGGGTACCACTTGTATCTCCTGTGAGTTTGTGTCCCCCTCCAGGGTTACTCTGGGACCCCAGAAAAAGCTGCACTGACCTCATGACCCCTGCCTTCTAGATGACCCTGTGCGCATCTTCAAACATGAACCACAGCCACCACACTCTGTCCTCAAGTTTCTGCAGGATGTATTCAGCAGCCCTGCCACAGCTGCCATCTTCTACCACACCGACATGATGGCGCTCATTGACATCACCGTGCGGCACATCGCGGACCTCTCACCTGGAGACAAGGTGCTTGGAGGTTGCCACACAGGGATGGAAAATGGGTGGAAACCAAACCTGTCAGCAGGTTAGGGGTGACAGTGAGTGGATGTGGAATGTGAGGGGTTTGGCTACTGCTGGAGCCAGGTAGGTGTGAGAGGCCACTTGGAAACCAGGGCAGGTATGCTAGAAGCCAAAGGAGGCAGCTGTGGGGCTGTTGAATGGGGTGTCTGGGGAAAGCTGCAGCAGAGTGGGAGGTGATGACAGGACGTAGCGTAAACACAGCACCTTGGGGGCTGCTTCAGCAGGCAGATCTCAGAGGCAGGGGAAGTGGTCTGATGATACCCCTTATGAGACCTCCACCATGTGAGGGCAGAGTGAGAGCTGGGGGCCTGTGGGGTGTAGAGAGGCCATGGTGGCAGTGGAAGTCAGGTCTGGGGTGTGCTGCGTGGATCAAGCAGAGCTTGATACTGCATTTGTCTTAAGCAGCTAGCTGGGCAAAGTCTTTTGATGATGCGAAGAGGGCTGAGGGGAGAATTCTTGGGAAGAAAACAGTTGTACATTGATGGTATCAAGATGAGGGAGACCCTGGTAGACATTTGGGCACTGACAGCATGAGGGAGGCAGCAGGGAGCAAGTTGGGACTAGAGAGTCATTTGGGGTCCATGTGCAGAGATGTGATGGGAAGCCATGCCAGTATGATCACTGAGGGAGTGGGACAGAGGGCAGGGTCAGCAGGGAGCCCACCCTTACTTGGGTACCATAGGTGTATACACAGGTAGGATCCCAGGAAGGAAGCCAGGTAGGCAAACATCCAGAACGCTGTGCAGGAGGAGGGAGGTCAGGAGCCTCAGCTGGGGGCTGAGAATTGGCTGTTAAGTTTGCTGTACAACTGTCAGTAGTGACTGATAAGGTCAGAGGAGTGGAGGACACAAGTGGAAAGGTGGAGGGAATTTGAAGGTAACTGAGGAGTGGAAATGGACAGTGGTAAACGGAGGCAGCTCTTGTAAATTTTCTGGGAAAGGGTGTAGACAGACAGGTATGGGGGGTGGAGGGAGATGAGGTGGATCAGGGAGAATGTCCTGGAGGTGGGAGGTGCTGTGCCTGCCCTGACTGTGAGCCTGGAGGAACAGAACCTCTGCTGTTCATTCTGGTGGGGACAAGTGAGATGCTGAAAGCAAAATGTGGGGCTTCTGAAACATTGCTTCTGTGTTTTCGTGAAGCACAAGGCCAGCTGGCCAGGCAGTTTAGGTTTGGAAAACAAGGTGAATGATGCTGCAGTAGAGAGCAAGTGAGGTGGAGGATAGCAGTGAGGGAGTCCCTGCAATGCCACATGGCCATCAGGAGTTCACGAGTGAAGATCAAGGGCCACACATGGCTCTGGCCCATTGACTGCCTGGGTGTGGTATTTGGCATGCAAGCACTATGCTCTGACTCCCAGCATTAGAGTCCCCAGGTGATGCGGCTTGTGGGAACTATTAGTACTGCTTCCTCTCTCCAGAGATAAAGAGAGAAATGAGGGATGTTGGGGATGGAGAGAGGGCAAGTGCTGGTATGAAGGCCCTATTAAATCACCAGCAGTGTTTTTATGAGCTAGAGAATGAGAAAGCTTTCACCTTGGGGAAGGGGAGAAGATTGAGTTAGATGGCAGCTGTGTGGGTTTGAGATATGCAGGCATGACAAACAGGCAATTGGATATTCTTGCATGGAGCTCACAGGACAGATCTCAAAGTTTGAGGCCAGGTCACTGTTTAAAACTGTGGGTGTGAATGAGGTTTTCCAGGATGAGAGAGAGCCAGGGTAGAAGCAGCTTCCAACTGACATATGTGGCATTTCAAGGGTCCTACTCTGAAGGACTGGCAGGACTTCCCAGGGTCCATTAAGGAACACCCTGTAGCTGGGAGGGTTCATTTAGTCACTTATAAAGTGACTGTTGGGGGCCGGGGAGATGGCTTAGTGGAATAAGCACTTCCCTGGCAAGCGCAAGGGCCTAAGTTCAAACCCCAGTTCCGCCAAAAAAATAAAGCGACTGTGGAAGGCACATTCCAGGTGCTGGGGACGTGGCCTTGATGTTCATGTAGTGTGAGCTAGTCCATAGCCCTGGGTCTACAGGAGATAATGGCTAGTGCCCCTCTGGTAGCAGTCACAGTATCTCCTAGGAGTTCTTGAACTAGCCTGCTTTTCCCACAGCTGCGTATGGAGTACCTCTCCTTGATGCATGCTGTGGTCCGTTCCACATCCTACCTGCAGCACCGCCATCGACTCTCAGACCTGCAGGCTACACTGCGGCGCATACTGACGGAGGAGGAGACCTCACCCCAGTGCCAACTGGACCACATGATTGTCCAAGAGATGTGCAAGGAGTTCCCAGTGCTTGGGGAGGCCCCCAGCTAGCACCTTCCTTTCCCTCATTCCCTGCACCTCTGGGAAGTGTGCAGGGGACTCAGAATGTTTTGCACTGACATTGTGAGGGGATAAGTGGGTAGAGGGCCCTGAGCAGGGCCCCCAGGTAGGTCCAATGCAAGAGGCCAAGTGTAGGATTGGGGACCACAGTCTGGGAAATACACTGGGGCAGAAGAAATATACAAGCAGAAGCCCCTTTAACCCTGGTAATCTGCTGCTTCAGCATGCCTCACCTCTGCCTCACCCCACCTCCACCCCAAACCCCCTGCACAGTCCTACTGCTGCTCCGGGCTGGGCCAGAGCCGCATCCCTGCCCACCTGGCCTGTGCCCTGGGCCTCTGCAAGCCATGTTCTTGGGGTGAGGGAAGGTGCTGCCCACCAGCTCTGCTCTTTGCCTTAGCTTCGCAGTGAGTGTTGCTCATATGCTGTCAAACCCCATGGGGTCACTGCCCCTTGCTCTCAACCCGGGAGGCCTTGGCCAAGCTGCCGCTGTGAAAAGTGGAAGATACCCAAGAACATCCAGGAGACACACCATCCACTGTGTGTGGCACTTCATGGAATAGGATGGTGATGCTGAGAAAGTCAATGACAGAATCTATTTTCTCTAAAAATGTAGACTGAAAAGTCATGTGTATTTTCCTATGTGCTATAGCTCAACTTTGGAAATAAATCAAAGGCGTCTGGAATCATGTTTTCCTGTGGGACCCTGGAGGGGTGGCACTCACGATCTTGTCATCTGGCTTCAGAGTTCTGCAGCCCAAAGAGGTGACAGACTGGTTGGCCCATTCTAGCCTATGTGTCCTGAGTGTCCTTCTGGGTCTCAGCTTTGCAGGTGGCTCCACTTCCAGCCTCTCCTGTGAAAACCACCCCTTTCTTCCCTGTTGAACTTTCCTGAACTATGTTCTCCTACATAGCTATTCTCAAATGAAGCAAGCCCTTTCTGAGCCGTGCTTTCCCTGAATACATAGGCCTTGTCTGGCTTTTATTTCCCTTGTCACCCAGATCGGCATTATACCTTCATTTTGCAACCTAGAGATGTCTTTTGTGAGTGTGTGATATGGCTCTGGGTTATCTCTCCGTGGTAGTGTTCACCTCCCATGAACAGGGCCCCAGGCTCAATCTGCAGTCTGTACTACAAAACACACCTACGCATACACATGCACTGCAGAACCTGTTGTCAGTCATTTTGACTTTAGCCTTTCTAGTGGAATGGTGTGTTTTTTAAAATTTATATTTCCCTGATGCCTAAAGAGGCTGAGAACATTTTCATTAATATGCTGGCTATTTGGATATTTTTAATACATTTATTCAAATCTCTTGTTCATATATCCTTTGTCTTTTATCAGTATGTAGCATGGACTGGCCAAATAGCTCAGCGGATTAAAGTGCCTGCAAGCAGGCACAGGGGCCAGGGGTTTGGTCCCTGTGTCGGCGCCACCCTCAGGGCACACTGAGAAGGCAATTGTGACTGGGCATAGTGGTGCACCCGTAATCCTGGCTCTTGGGAAGCTGTAAATGGTGGATCACTACAAGTCTGATTTAGTGATGAAACCCTGAACACCCTGTAACCCTTCCCTAAAATTAAAAAAAAAAAAAAAGTATGTATTTGGGACATGAGTTCTTAAGGTTTTCATTGTTGTTTGTAGTATTGGGGAATGAAATTCACATTGACATATACTCCCTCCCTACCCTCTTTAAACATTTCTAGCCAAGAGTGTCCTAAGCTACCCAGGCTGTTCATGAAATTGTGATCCTCCTGCCTCAGCTTCCCAAGTAGCTGGAATTACTGTGTGATGCAGCACTTGGCTTCCTTATGGCAGAGTAGTATTCTATTATTTATAAAAAGCACAGCATATCCATTCACCTGTTCATGGATAAAAAAGCTGTTTCCAAGAGTTAGCTATTATGAATTATGCTGATATAAACATGGGTGTTCATACATCACTGTAATGTGATTTTAATTCTTTTAGGAAGATACTTAGACATACAGCTGTGTCCTATCCCTTTTTCTTTTTCTTAAATTTTATTTATTCATTGTGTGTGTGTGTGTGTGTGTGTGTGTGACCAGCTCAGCCCACCAGGGGGCGGGGCTGGCTGGCATGTGGTGCTGGGGGATTGAACCGCGGTCCCTGTGCTTTGCCAAGCTTGTTCCAAGTAGGTGCCTTAGACCACTGAGCCATCTCACCAGCCCCCCTATCCCTTTTCAATTTTAATTTTTTCCTCTTTTTCTTCCCCCTCCCTTTCTTTTTGAGACAGGGTCTGGCTAAGTTGCCCAGGCGGAGCTAGAACTTGCAATCCTGTCTTAGCTTTCCAGAGTGCTGGAATTTGCAGGCAAATCCCAGCTCTGGCTCTCCTCTTTCTATTTATTTTGCCCAAGCCAAGCAGGATATGGTATTGATCAGTAAATGAAATGTCAAGCATGAAATACATACAATACACTGTAGGACATAAGCTGCACATGTCCCAAGTGAGAGAAAGCTTGCTGTGCAGTCTTCCACCGCTTTGCTATGATAACAGCAGGAATCAGCCACCACCTCTGAGTGCCTAGGGCCATCTGTTAGCACCAGGTCATTTTATTTTATTTTATTTTATTTTTGCACCAGGTCATTTCAACAGCAATAATACATCTATATACTGAGTTATGTACAAGGAGACCACTGGAATCTCTTATTCCCCATAAACCAGACATTACAGAGGCAAACAAAATCAGATGGAAAGGTTGTAATGATGTGTGCTTGGCTAAAAGGACATCAAGGCACTATATAATGCTAACTATGAAGGTTATGAAAACAATAATACTGGCTTTTTTTTTTTTTCCAGAACCAGGGATTGAACTCAGGCCCTTGCGCTTGCCAGGCAAGCACATATTCTACTGAGCTATCTCCTTGGCTCCCAATAATACTGGCTTTGAGGGAAAAGAATCAAGGGTTACAAAATTATCTAAATTGTAAACAAAATAAGTTACTTCTGAGGTCTGTGGTCAGTCACTGGCCCATGTTCTTAGCAAGGCTATGAGGTGGAAGGGAAGAGGGGTAGTCACACATTTCAAATTAGAAACCGCTCTGCACAGAAATAACCTCTGAAAGGGCACTCATCCCTCCAGCACTAGGAAGCTGCCGGGAACGTGAGTTATCACCTGCAGAACGGAAGCACAATGGGACTGGGCTGCAGGGACTCACGTTCACATCCACATTGGGCCTCTGTATCCGCTGCTGAAGTGTAGAAGTCCCTCCCCCTCCCTCTCTCGTTTTGTTTTGTTTTTGTTTTTGGTGGAACCGGGGATTGAACTCAGGCCCTTGCGCTTGCCAGGCAGACACTTATTTCCCTCTCTCCTTTTATGAATGCCATGGTCATCGCTAACAGAGGGAAGCCTCACTGCATCCACTACAATATTTATTCCTTATGGGATTAAGGGGAAATGAACAAATGTCCCTCTCCCTTTCCCTCCTCCTCCCTCTTCCTTCTGTCTGTCTGTCTGTCTGTCTGTCTGTCTGTCTGTCTCTCTTTCTCTCTCCCTCTCTCCCTCTCTCTCTCTCATTTTAGGAACGCCATGATCATTGCTAACAGAAGGAAACCTCACTGCACCCACTACAATATTTATTCCTTATGGGATTAAGAGGAAAATGAACAAATTAAGATTAAGAGGAAATGAACAAATGTCCTGGTATTACCTAAACATCCAGTTATGGGAGGGGTTGGTTCATCATTGACCTCACCTTTAAGATGAATGTTCTTTCAGCATTATCTGGCTCCTATTTTTAAAGTTGTCATATGATAAAAGAAAATTGTTAGGTTGGGCATGGTAAGGCTCACATTTGTTCATACAACCTTCAAGAATGGCTCCCCCTTCCCTCTCTCATGCCAACCTGCTCTTGGCCAGGTACTTCTCATTAACGCCTTCCTGCCTCCCTCTTTCCTCGCCTGCAGGATTTGTACCTTCCACTCACTGATGGTCCTAGAGAGCGGCACACGCAGTCCAAACCCCGTCCTGGTCCTCTCTTTTGCAGCCTCAGGACCCGGAACCCCACCGATGCAGCGCCACCCTCCGCGCCTCTGCAGAAATCCCCATCTCTGCACACAGTCCTGTCAGAACTCCGATTCAGGGCAGGGTCTGGACTAGGGCCTGGGAAGGTGCCAAGGCACCAATGACCACTTTTCAACAACCAACAAGAGGGCTCGGGAGGTGGAACTTGCGAGGGCCGCGCTTCTTAGAAGCGCCGAGGTCTCCGGCCAAAGGATGCATTGATTGGTTGGTGGTGATGTCATATGTACGGTCCTGGGAGGGCTAGAGTTCTCGGCCAGGCGTTCTCCGCTTGTCTGAATCAGGATCCACCCGGGCGGGGGTCCACGGCCTGTGGAGCGTTCCAGGTCCCTAACTCTTTTCTCCGTACTAGGGTTCTGGCGTGCTCTGCCGCTGAACTATAGCCTATTATAGATGCTACCTTTGGGAGTCCGCACAGAGCCTCCTAATTGCCTCTCCCTGCTATCTAGTACTACCACAGAACCCCTCTCACGTACAATGAGTCCTCCGCGAGGGGCGGGGCTTCCTATTGTGCCAATAGAAACAATGACTCTAATATCTACGCGCGCTTGTGTCCCGCCCACTGGCCCGCGGTGACGACAGCTCGCCAAGCCCCACCATTGGCCGACCAAGACCCGCGCATGCCCGAAGTTGTCCGCGTGGGTTGAGTAGGATTCTGCGAAAAGCTGAGCTGTCAATCCCTTCAAGGGTTGGGGTACACAGTAGTTTCTGGAGAGGACAAGGGTCTGAGGAAGCTATCCCACAGCTGTAGCGCAGCGATGGGCCCCATGTGGCATTAAGGGCCCGGAGAGACCATGCAGACTCCGGGATCCCCGAATCTGGGAGCTTTCTGGGAGCCAGCGAGGCGAGGAGGGTCATCTTTGGCCTCGCTCAGCAGGGGTTCCTCACGAGCAGATGGTTGCGACATATTTTATAAGCGAAACTTGTGATCCAAAAGTTAAAACTATTGGTCGAGCTGCTGGAGACCCTGAACCGCGTCCGGCCATACTCCCCTTTCCCCTTAGGACTGCACCCCATACACCGACCAGAGCCGGGAGAACGCGCTCACGACACGTCACAAGCATCACGTTTTCAGAACAAAATCGCGTGTAGGGTTCATAACTATACTCAGGAAGGTAACAGAGATCCATAAACAGAAGAGTTGGAAGCTGGGGCAGAGGAGCCCGGGAAGAGCTTAGTGAGGAGGGCGGAGGCTGAGAGCAGGGGGGCGGGCCCCACTGCGGCGAGCTTCGCGCCCCAGGGTGGGTTGGGGGGGCGTGTCCTAAGTAAAGATGGCGGCAGCGGCTTCGGTTGCCGGAGCTGCCATGCGCGGCGGGCTGTACTACTCCGTTTGGGGCGTCGGGGCGGAGGTGGAGCGAACTATCTGGGCGGCTGGGAGCCATGTTGGAGCGACGGGAGGCGGCAGCGGCGGCGGGGATGCTGTGGTGGGGGCGGCAGGAGCCGGGGCCGTATACTAGAAAGGCTCCGGCCAAGGAGTAGATGGTGCCCAGGGGC